CCCTTTCATTGTTTAAATGATTTAATTGTAGTTCTAATTCATATTCAGATTTTCTCATGTTCTCACATAACACCTCGAAAACGAGCTATTAACGGTACTCGAGCTTTATTAATGATTATTTAACAGGCTTTTTATTGATTGTAGCACTGCTGTGAGCTGGGTTTTAAGTTCGATTCCCACGAACAGTTAAACAAAATTTTGGGAAATATTTTATTTCGTTTCTTTTTAATTTTTTTTTCATGTTTTTTTATAAAATGAATATACCCTCTTCATTTTATTAAGTTTACCGCAATGTTTATAACACCCAGCAGGAAACGTCAGAGGCGCTATGAAGTCTATGTACATATATATGAGTGTAAATGATCAGCGTGACGAGCTGCGTCGATTTAACCCTCTTCCTCTGTCAGCCTGTATATATGCGAATTACTCATTTAGTTTTTAAGATATCGATCTGAAATTTTGCACATGTTCTTTTCTTTTCAAGAAGCTACTTATTTTTTTAAAACCGCCAATATCGGACTACTATAGCATATAGCTGCCATACAAATTGAACGATCACAATCAAGTATTTGTATGAAAAACTTTTTTATTTGAAAAGATATTTTCCCAAAATTTGGCATGGATTATTTTCCAAGACAGCACTACAATCTCCAAATATATTGTATAGATGGGACAACTATAGCATATAGCTGCCATACAAACTTATCTACCAAAATCAAGATAATTACCTTTTTATACCCTTTTTATGCTAAAAAAAGCACACCGGGTATTATTGCTTCGTTGCTGCCGAAGTTAACGTTTCTTCTTGTTTTTTTTTGTACTCAGTGTACTGATTATCACACTTATTTATTTGGTTCAAAAGCGTCAAAAGCATATCATTCATGACGTCGATATTCGTATTATGTATGTATATATGTATGTATGTAACTATATACATATGCATGTAGTTAAATAAAAAATAGTAGATTTGCTTAACTATTTATTCTGTGTCGTCTTTTTTTTCTTAGCAAAAATATTAAATGCAGATATAAGTACAAAAACAAATCAACGCGCACAAAACAACGGATGTGAACAATAAAAGCCTTTGTTGTAGTTGCTTACGGCCGCCTTCTTAGCCAGAAAGAGGTGAAAAAACCCACCAAATTGAAATCTAAAGTTAAAAAAAATATCTATTTCAAATTTCATGGTTAATCTACAAAAGCATGCGTGAGTGTGTGTGCGCAATGTACTCACATGCGTGCATAACTATATATGTGTTAGTATGTGTTTTTAGGTGTAAGAGTTTGGCATATTAATTCCTAGTAATGAATGCACACCTTTGGTTATGCTAAGTACATACTGACGACATTATTTGACAGGAAATTTGTAGAGTTAAGTCAACAGCGATTACTTTTTTGTATTTTTTTCTGGTTTTCAAACAATAATTGTCGTAAATTTGAATGAAAATAGCACGAACAACCAACACAAGTACCGGACGATTTCACAAATTTTTTGTTATTTTTTTAAGGCTTAATAATGGGAAAGAAACGCTCATTAAGAGCGCAAAAGATAAGAGTATTTTTGTGCCAATTTTATATTTAATTTGTTTTAGTATGAATATTTATAAATGTATATGTGTCGACTTATGTTATTGTAAGTATTAATGTTTCGTGGATTTATTTTAAACATAAGGATGTACTTATACATATATATTATTAGGGTAGGCAAAAAAAAAATTAATATCGAATTTATGGGTTAAAGTGAACCTACATATATACCGTGGCAAATATTCCAGCAGCGTAGTATTTTTAGCTTAATTTTAAAAGATAACTGTGAGCGTTCAAAGTCTTCCATATAAATAACATGTAATAAAATCTGTTTTCATTAAAAAGGTTGGGAGCATAAAATTTCCTAAAAAAACTACCTCGGGGTGGTGATGGTATAAAAGGTTATTGTGGTATAGAGACCCGAATTTGTAGCGTTTGTTGACAATTAATATCAATTATTTTATTATTTGCTTAATCTTATTCCAAAAGTACACAACATAAATAAAAAATAATAATAAAACAAAATTTCATAAAGTTATGAGACCTTGAAATAGAGGTGGAAATGGTCGCATCCTCTGCGTCACGATTTATAATTTTTTGGTGTAATTTTACAGATAAAACATTGACATATTCTGGATTACTGCAATTGTAATTGTCGTATAAACCAACAAAACTGTAATTTTTTCTTTCGCGAATTTTTTGAAAATAATACAAAAAAAAATTTGTTTAAGTCAATACTTTAGAGAGATATTTAATAATATTAAGGGGTTATATCCACTTGTGAATTTAAAAAAATCGATTTTTTTCATATACATATAGTACATAAAATATCGAATATATGTACATACATATCTACATATATATATTTGAGAATATTATCGAAAGTTGATGCGGCAAGAAATTTCGAAGCTACATATGAGTATATCTGTAAAAATTTTTCGAGTTAGTGTAATCGGCGCACAAAACATTAAACGCGTTTTTATCGAAACGCTGTTTTCAGAGTCGGTGAAGAATATTTCTTTCACACAACCTTCTCCGATATATTTGTCAGATTATATTAAAAGCAATACGATTTTGAAAATCTCTTCGATTTTGTAAGCCAATCTGAAGTGTAAATTTTTTCACAAAAAACTCATTTTCTCTTATCACAAATCAAAGTTTTGGAAATTCCTTCAATCTTTACTTGAATACTGTTATAATAAAATTATTTGGGTTTTGGATTTGAGATAGATTAGCAGAAAAATCTACCTCTCCGCCATCTTTTTAGAGGTGCTGCTGGAAAAACCTTTCATGTTTACTTGCAAGTAAGATATAACCGTATTAAGTGCTTAAATCAGAAAATAAATTTAAAAAAACTTGTAAAAAATGTATGCAGCAGAAAAACTAACCACCAAGTTTATAATACCAATAATGTTGAATAAAATTTTGTATTTTATACTGCAAAAGCAACAAAATAAAAATTTAAAAATTTTTCACGAGTCAGTGCCATAAAATAGTTTCCAATTAGTGCAAATATAATTTTTAATATTTTTTCCAAGTTTACTACGCCATTTTGTTTATGCAATTTTCGCATTTCTGTTTTGTGTTACACAAATTTGCAATGCCTTATTTAATTATTTCAATTTCTAAACAAACAGCCATTTATATAACGGCCATTTAATGCAAAACAGCCATTTCCATTTTATTCACGCGAATTATGGGCAGTAAAAGGAAACTTTTTAAATAGTTAAAATCAGGGGCGTGGTAAATTTAATTAGTTACTCTGTACTACAAATACAAACAAATACAAATACAATTACATGACGGGCGAAACTAAATTATATGTGAATTAAAGCACGAAAAGCGAATCATAAGCGCTGCACTCACACATCGAAACACGCGTTTCCTCATGAAAATGTGTGTAATCGCAAATGTTACGAACGATACATGCGCGCAAATATGGAGTAAATTTCAATCAACAACAAGCACAAAAAACAAACAAAAACAAAGGTAAAATAAAATGCCAGAAAAAACAAGCAACTACCACCACAAAACGAATTGAACACGCCCCTACTGATGAGGACCACGACGAGCGCGAGCGCCAGCAGGAAAAAAATGTGAAAGGGCGTATTTTAATATAAATTTACGAATAAGGTAAATGAGAAATAAATATAAAAAATATATAAAAACGGGCGCACACAATGCCACATGCACACACATGCTTGTGTACAGCGCGCGATTACATTCTGATTGAAACGATGGCAATGCCAGCCATATAACGACGACTACGCCGTAGACGACAGCATTAACGATGATTACCAAGGCGCGCACGTACACACTCACACACATTGTTTGTGCTAGAGCAGAATAGCGCTACTAACGCGCGCCCCTACGAACACACGAATGGGCCGGCACGATATCAACGCCGAGCTGCTGCAATATATCGCTTGCAGAATATGTATGTAAGCTCGTCACAACTGGGAGAGCGCGCATTTTATATTGAAACGATACGATTGTAATTCCACCACCACCTGCCAGCAATAGCAACAACAATAATAGCAACAGTAGCAGCAGTCAGCAAAACAACCAACCACGCGGCTAAGCCACCCGATGACTGCCGCGCGCACACTACAAACAACGAGCGCAACGAAGACGAGCGGCGCGGCACAACGCGTCCCGCAGAGCGCTCCAATAGCAATGAAAATATAATTGAAAGAAGAGCCAACAAGCAATACAACGACAGTAATAAAATATATTCGTGTTTGTAGTTGTTTTAATGATTGTTATATAGCATGCTCTGTGGCGCGGTGAAAGGGCGATTGAGCGCTGTTGTGTATGCTGCACGCGGATTGGTTGCGCTACACAACGGAATACACCAACAAAGCGCAATAAAAACCCCTTAATAATTGCCTTTTTTCGAGTGAACATTGTTATGATAGCCGCATGTTGTTGTTGTTTTTATTATATTAGTGTTGACGGCACGAGGCGCATAGCGCACAAATAAAGAGCAGCAGATATCTAATAAGACGAAGTCAGCGAATGATTGGAAAAGTGAAACGATAACGAAACAGAGCGGAGAGCATAAAACGTTGCTGAGCGCAAGAGCCCATGAAAGCGCATAGGAACAAATTGCGGACTGATTGGCATTGGCACACTGCGGGCGCAGCAAGAATGTAGGTGAAAATTTCAAATATATAAATTGATATACACCTTCTTCTTTTTGGTTGTTATTGCTTGATTAGGCGCGCGCAAGATATACCCGCACTCTCTCGCTCTCTCATGCATGCTCTCTTTCAGGCATATGTATTTATCAACTAGTATTGCTGGCGGCAATCAACAATTTGATCAATTATTGCAGCCAACCGCGGCCCCCAGCAATCTAGCCGCGCGGCAGCGCCTCACTTTTTTCTCAATTTCTGGGTGGCGGTTTCGTTTATTGCTATCATTTTACTGCTGCTTGCCGTCCACGGCATATTCACATACATACTTATGTTTGCCCCTTTTTCTTGTTGGTTTCGCATTCATTTGGCGCGTGTATCCGCACTGGGCGCTCTCAATTCCAATTCAAATCGAGTTTTCGGTACGCCGCTGCCGCGCGCGGTCGACGCTATCGTCAACGCCTCTGTATCGCGTTGAATTGCATCGTAGCAGCGAAGTGTTACTGGTTCGTGTTGTTGTCAAAGTAGATATATTTCATCGGCGCTCTACCAATTTGCTGCTCTGCTGTGCTGTGCGCGCTACTTCTGCGTTGCTACGCTTAGCTGGTTGTTTTGTTGGTCGTACTCATTCGTGTCTGGATCGTTGCCGTTCAAAGATCACAGTGCTGTTTATTTTTTGCTTCAGCGGGTTTTCTGTCAATTGCCGTTTATATCGGAATTCGATTGCGAGGAGGTGCTAGAGTGGCAATTTAGTGACAGATTGTGCAAAGCAGAAGTGAGAAATAGTTAATAAAGGTACTAATTGCAATAAAATGTTAAATTTACAACAACTATGTTACGCAAACTGATCAGAAAAGAGTGAGAAAATATTAGAAAAAGGAAATAGTGTACAATAACAACAACAAAGTGTGCGAAATTTGTGCGGAGAAAAAGTTAGTAAAGTAAAAACAAATAACGGTGCATTGATTGCGCACATAAGCAAACATAAATGACAAACAAATAAAAACGAGTGAAAAAAATTTATATTAAAAAAGTGCATAAAATTGTAGAAAAGTTTGCAATTTCAGGCAAATTTTAAAAAACGCATTTCCTTAAGAACTTAAGAACTGTTTGTTGTAGAACGCACACAACAACAGTAAATAATATTGCAAAATAACAAAAAAATTAATTTACGTTTACAACAAGAGTAATTACAAAAAAAAATAAAAAAAATTAAACCGAGTACAAATTACTACTGCAACAGCAACAATAAATAAAGAACCAACGAGCGCTGCCAGCTTTGACAACGGCAGTTTTATCAGCGTCGGTGGCTGTGACGTCGCGTTGTCAGCGCAGCTGCATTGTTTCATTAGCGCTGCAGAATATGTTTAACGGTACCTCATTTGAACCTATTTGTTTTTGTCAATACGCGATCAACAGGCGCTGGACATTAAAACAAGAACACTCCGTGCTACTCTACGGCAATTAAGCACATTTATTAATGGTTTCTGTGTGTGGGAGTGTGTAATGTTGTTGTTGTGTAACCCACGCATTTGAAAACGTTTATTTCGTTAATTTTTTGACTTATGCAATTTTACAAAAATAAAATTGCCTATAATTAAGATTTTCTAAAAACAACAAGAAAGTGACAATTTATTCGTTTTTAAATTCAATCAACAACAACAAGAACGACGTTGAGTGCAAAATCTTATAAAGCTACATACTTATGCTAAATACAAACATATGTACAACTAATTGAACAGCTGCTTAATTTAAGTGATTTCAATTATTCACTTCAAGTTATCCTCGCTAAACTGTGTTTTTGTGTGAGTGTATGTGTGGAAATAAGTGTATATTATTTATTGTGACAAATTTGTGTAAAAAGTACAACAAGAAGTGCAGGAAAAAAGTGTTTCTTTAATAAATGCAATTATATAATATGGATTGTACTGGTCGTCGTTCGAATCAAAGTGAACGTGCTCCAGATTTAGGCGAAGATTTGGTAAGTGATGCAACCAAAAACAGTGAACATCATTTGTTAAATGTAAATGAGGGTATACAAAGATCTTAATCTTGATTTCGATTGGCCAGTTTTTATGGCAGTTACATATATACTATAGTAGACCGTTCTGAACAATTTGTGTGGAGATTGTAGCATTGCTTTGTATAGTAATCTGTGCCAACTTCGTGAAGACATTTTATCAAATAAAAAAGTTTTTCATATAAGGACTAGATTTCGATCGGCCAGTTTGTATGAAAGCTATGTATATATGTTATAGTGCTCCGTTAACGGTGTTTCCGACAAATGAGCAGCTTTTTGGGGAGAAAAGTACATATGCAAAATTTCAGATCGATCTCTCAAAAACTGAGGGACAAGTTCGCGGACAGACAGTGTTACAAGCTTCTTAGCATACCCTTTACAGGGTGTAATAATTCTATATGGTCATCCATATGTTCAAAAGTTAATGATTTTGCGGTTATAGATATGCTTCTATTAATAAGTTGTACCAATGTAACAATGCACCAATTCCAACAGAAAAGCATTAAGGAATTAATTAACGACATTTGTTAATTTCTTAGCCTTTTCACTGACTGGATTGTAGAAATATGTACATTAAGGGAACAATGTGTGTAGTAAGTTCATGAAATCTTGAATTTTTTACATCTAGAAATGAGCGCAACCCCGAATCTTGAGTCCAATGTCAGAACTGTAAATAGGTTTTTACATTCACTGATAGTTTTGTCCTGATCAAGCTAACCTAAACATGTTAAAATGTGTTGTCCTACATTCTTTAGACGCGCAAAGGTCATTTTGAATGGGTGTCCCTCTGAAAAGGTTCAAAGCTCTCACTATTTGTCTGATAGGTATACCTATGCTGATAAATATATGTTTAATAATATGTCTGGTTCTCCACCGGATATGAAACGTCGGTCAAGTTCTTCTTAGCTGCAATTGAAAATCGCAGTGATGAGTGTTGAAAGCTGCTGGAATTATTTCGTGGATTGTTTTGGATAGTGAAATCTGTTGTTTGTAAAAATAAATTGGTAATTCTATATTGACAACTGGAAGTTTGTTTGGAAGATGTAAAAACTCTGTTTTATAGAAATACATGTAATAACAATGTATTCATAATAAGTGGGTAGGTAGAGCGGGTGTCTGGAATTAAAATCCTCTCACTCTATTATGTCCGCTCTGCCCCACCCCGTGCTTCTGATGAAGTTCATCAAAAGAAAAAGTTTTATCTGTGCGATCTTCGAAATATCGTCAGGAAACCATAGACCGATACTTGCGATTCTTTTTCTATACGGACCTTTGCATTCGCATAAATGATGTTCTATTGTATCCTGTTTTTCTTCTCAGCTGGCATGTCTGCTCAATTAGAGTATTAGCACTCCTACTACAGTTATGTTATTCCTTTTGAATTGTAATAGTCAGCAGGTGCGAACCATATTCTGTTCCTGCCACTTTGGTCCGCTTGCTAAGCAAGTTAGAGATTGACTCCACCGATACTAAACTATACTAATAACACATTAACGTTGTGCCGTACAAAATTATTATTACGAAAAGCTCTATAAAAATAAAATTGAAAATCTTTGTAAATCATTTGATCAAATTTGACCTGGACTGGTGGAATTTTATTATAATAAAGAGCAACTGATAACATAAAATACTTGAAAGAACGCTCATCGTTATCAGACGAACAAGTCTATTGCTTAGTGCACTAAAAATTAATATTACCGTTAAAATAGTTGTCTTTGAACGTGAATTGGTTTTCATATGATTTGTTGTGATTCAAGTATTTAAAATCTAAAAGAAAAAAAATATAATGGAGACTTTTAACACCGTTTAGAATAAATATACCGAATGATCTATAAATTTCGTGTTATGTATCTGTTCTTAAGATAATATCATAAAATAAAATATAATATACATGCTATACATAAATATATTCGCATATGCACACAAATTCATACAAATTCAATGAATTTCGTTGATTTATATAGAAAAGTCTTAACATCGTGATTCAGACATATATAAATAATATGATATAAACTTTGCAGCAAGTAGCTCTCTTTGGTACACCCTGTATACAATATTTATTTATTTTATTTTGTTTATATAAAAACAAAGCTTTATGACCACGTCGAATACAACACTTTTAATGTACACATTAATGAGAAAAGTCTTTATAGCAAGCATGCAATAATTTGAATAATCAGCACACGGGCAATATGGTAGACTTGTGTTCGATCATTAATTTGATTAAATGTTAATGCATAAATCAAAATGCTTATGTCATAAAGAGTCAATATTTTAAGTGATTTCTGTGTGGTCCTGCTTTTGATTTATCATTTAATAATTATTTTAGAATTATAAAGAAAAAAAAAAAAGTTTATAAAAAAAACTGAAATTTGTTGAAATAGTTTTTTATATGGTATCATTTATAAATTTTATTGCCAAACTAGTTGGTCGGTAAAGAATTTCTGTGTGGCGTTGACGGTTTTCTAAGAATATTTGGTAAATATCTTATGTCGAGTCTGCATGCTTTGCATACTATTTGACCTTTCGATACTGTGTGCGTAGTTAGAAGATCTTCTTTCCTGGTATAAGTGTTTGTAAGTTTCTTTTTCGTTCCACTTCAGTTATTATTGAAAAGTCAGAAAGATTGGTTGCTTACAGACTCACGTTTCTGTCGCATGTCTACAGTTGTTCGACTCTAAGGCGTGTGAATTAAGAGTGTTCCTTCACATTTTAAAATATTTCCAGTGTTGCATTTCATTTGCAATTATCTTGTTTGGGATTAGCCAATTCGAAGAATTAGAGATCTTAACAACATATTAAATATGCTTAAATCATTCCAATTAAGTTGAAAGCTTTACGTTCTCACCACAGTTGGTTTTAGGTTACTGGAAGGGATCCGAAGCTTCAGCATCTTTTAGAATTATTTGAGGGATGTTTCATACTGCTACAACAACAACAATGTAGTAGAACTCTGTTTAAGTAGAACTACGGTTAAGTCCATTTATAAATTTGAAAAAATCGATTTACTTTTTGCATACTTGCATGTATAGATTTATATCGAACGTACATATAAGTATATGTATATTTGAAAACATCCTATCATAGTTTCGGAGGTATAATCGTATTTGCAAGCATATTTTAATCGGTTCTCAAAGCTGTAAACGCTTTTTTTCGAAACCTTGTTTACACTGTCGGCATGGACAATTTCTCCGAAAAGGCTGGACAGATCAACTTAAAATTCTAAATTTTTTTTTTTTGGGAAGCCGCAATTTTGTTAAAAAATTAAAATTTTTACCAAGCCTTCGATCATCACCGGTATTCAACTATTTGAATAAACTTTTTTTTTTTTAGTTTTTGGTTTTGAGACAATTTTAAGCAGAAATACCTTTCTCACCCCCTTTCTCATCTTTTTCCGGGGGTCCTCCTGGAAATCTGTTACGGCATCAAAAGTATCCAAAAATTATTAAAATGAATCAACGGTTATTAAAGTACATTAAATTTTGTAAATGTACATTATTTTTATTTATTTATTAAATAAAATGCCACTTTAAAAAAAATTCACGAAAAAATACGTTTTTTCTGTCTTCTGAGAGGATATAACGTCTTAAACAATTGCAGAAAGTTTTGAAAATAATAGTATGACGTCACTTAAATATAGTAGAAAATAATTTCACTTAAAAAAAGTTCCGTCTAACTCATCTGATGTCCATTAGAAAAAAACGATCGCGAAATAAAATACTTCAATTTAAATAAAACTTAGACTCGCTACATGTTTATTAAGAAGAATGTAATCAGCAGAAAATAAGTAATAAATAATAATATCAATAAACTATATAACAGGCATTTTTGGCGTCGGTGTGAATTATGACGATAAATAAATTCAATTAACTTTTCTCATTAATTTCGATTTGCTTACCTGCCTGCTTTGCTGCCGTATTGTTGTTGTTGCGGCAAGTGTTGAGCTATAAAATCAAAAACACGTCAATGGATTTTAAATGTACTTATGTACACAAGTATATACCCGCATTTACGTAAATAATTGAGTGCATGTAAATTTGTACACACATATTTATATTCAATTAAAGCGCTCCAATGACTAAGTGATGTTCTCTGAGAAGTCACAAAAACGTCCACCGCATCGCGCAGGTAAATGTGAGAAATCAAAAACTCGTCATATTATTAAGTCAATATCGAAAAATGAAATCACACGTACATACACAGACTTGCTAGGGAGTAAATATATGTATATTTGTTAGCATGTAAATAAACCGTTGGAATACAATGCCTACAGTGTGATGCCGACAACAATGAATTATATTTTTTCAGTTGCTCGAAGAGTTTGTGATATCAACAGAATCAGCGCGCTGATGAGCTGCTTTTTCCCTCCCTACCCTTTGTAGCGAATTGGAGGTTCGTCGGCGGAGTAGCAGTTAGCGGTGGAGTCTGCTGCGGAACAGCCAAGTTCACATAGCGTTGCATGCTGTGGAATCCGCTTGGTGTCAATTTGACTGTGCGTTCCTGTCACACGGCAATCGTGTTTCGTTTTGTGCATGTATGTATGTATGTGTGTGTGTGTATGTGTTCCACAGCTTGTTTGCTCTGCGCCGTTTTGTCTGTCCAATTTCCAAGATTTCTTTTAATTTAAAATCACACTTGTTTTTTGATCGCATATGTGAATTAATTGTTTAAATATTTACATTATTTGTTAGTGAGCTAAACGAATATTAAATGGCATACCTTTATAGTATGTTTCTTTATTCGTCACTTCGCGCGTTGAGCGGGTTAACAGCTTTCTTAGTTTATGTTGGAGTTATGTTGTTGGTTTTGGCATTTATTACTGTTGTTGTTGTAAGAATATTGATTTTCATTGTTGTTGTAGTATTTGAGTTTTTTTTGATATGTCTTCTATTGTTTTCTACTTCTAACAACAATATTGATATGTTTCTAAGCGCTCGCGCAGATCGTTGCTCATTACAAGC